AGGCTACAAAGTGGAGTTGGGGGGGGGGGGGGGGGGGGGGGGGAGGTGGGGGGAGGCAACCCTTAATCTCACACAGAGGGAAAGCAGCGAGGAGTATATGCTGAAGGAGGGAATCCTGTTTTCTACCATTTCTCAGAATCTCCTGGAAGGGACCCATCTCCTTACCAGCCCTGTGCCTGGAATGCACGCCTTAGAAGGATCAGTTACAAAGTCATGCTTAGCAAGTTCATTGCTGAGGCAACAGGACTCCCCTTGTGCGTGAATTTAATGTGGTGGGGAGGGGAGGGATGGAGTGGAGAGCTGGAAAGAATTTAAACATGCTTAAGGTAGATAATTGTGTGCCAAGTTAATGGTAATTAAGGAGTCTTATGAACCTTTTTAAAAAATGGTATCTTTTTACATTTTGAAGAAAAAAAGAATTGTGTTGTAATTGATTTTTATTATTTTGTGCTGATGGTTTCTCTGCAAAAATTATGAGTTAATATAAAAAGTGCGTGATAATACTAATGTTGACAACTAATGGCTAGCAAATGGTTATTATGTGTCAGGTACACTAATTTAATCCTTGTCACAACCTTCACCATTTTACAGATGAGGAAACTAAGGCAAGAGAAATTAAATTTGCCCAAGTTCATATAGCTATTAAGTGTCACAGCCAGAATATCGATAAAACCTTATTATCTGTCATTTAAAGATGCTATGGCAAAACGCAATTCTAGAAACATCATTGGTTCAGAGAAGAGTGGGCAGTATGCTTCCGAAATAGTTTTTCACATAATGGCATTTTAGACAGTATTGAATTCATTATAGTTCTATCTCCTTATTTAAGATCCGGGTATGCTTTACACAAAGATATTTTTCAAAGTTTTCAACATGAGTCCTAGTTTGGGGGCATCTTGTGGTTCTGATTTCTGTCTCTTGTGGAACTTCAATTCAAAGTGCTCAAAATTAACGATGACTTTGAGGGGCATCTTGTGGTTCTGATTTCTGTCTCTTGTGGAACTTCAATTCAAAGTGCTCAAAATTAATGAGTTGCAATGTGCTCCTGCCTCATGGCAGCTTTCCCCAGAAGCACAAGGCGCTCTACGCGCACACACCAAGACAGAAACAGCAGTTCACTGTTGTGTTCCCCAGAGCGGGTATGGCATCAATTTGAAACTTCAACGTTATTTTCTAGGTTTGGAAGCTGAAAATATTTGATTGAGTTAGATAAAAAATAGCCTTGTTTTTCTGATCATTAGACCTTTCATATACATCTCAAAATTAGTTTAAAAGTAAAGCATGTGAGGGCCGGCCCGTGGCTCACTCGGGAGAGTGCGGTGCTGATAACACCAAGGCCCCGGGTTCGGATCCTATATAGGGATGGCCGGTTCGCTCACTGGCTGAGCGTGGTGCTGACAACACCAAGTCAAGGGTTAAGATCCCCTTACCGGTCATCTTTTAAAAAAAAAAAAAAAAAAAAAAGTAAAGCATGTGTTAGGAACTTTAATGGAACAGAAATATTGCTTTTTTGTCTAACAGTATCTTCTTAACCATTATCTGGAAACTTCTTTTTTTCCCACCATGTAAATACATTTAAAACACACACACACACTCACAAAAGCTTAAAGTTTCTGATGGATTCCAGCCCCACCCCCCACTTAAAATAGTACTTTTTTGTGGTCTGTAGCTATCAAATCAGTTGGATTTTTACTGAGAATTTTAATTCATCCTTGAGATACTTAATGTGAGAATATAAGCTAAGTTTTAATTTAGTATGCCAACTTGACAAACATGATAAATGAAAGATTAATGCATGTATCCATATGATGAAATGTTAGCAGTAAAAAGTTGTGTTATTTAATAGCTAGGAAATTAAGCTGTTTTAATAAAATGAACTTAATTAGCATGTTAATAGGAATTATAGTATTTTTTTAAAAAATTTTTTTTTCCCTTTTTTTTTTTGTCTTTTTTTTTTTTTTCGTGTCCGGCAACGGATTGCAACCCTCAGTGTCGCGCCCGCACCGGACCGGGACTGGCAACGGGATCGCAACCCTCAGTGTTGCTCCCGCACCTCGCTCAGCCAGTGAGCGGGAACCGGTCTGTATGTGGGATCCGAACCCTCGGCGGGAGCGCCACCACGCTCTCAAGTGGCGCACTGTAGCAGTGCGCCACCGGGCTGGCCCGTATTTTTAAAATTTTTAATCTTGCATTTCCGTATGTGCATTATCTAAATTAGCTGAACTTTGCAGTGTTTTAACTTGATACATTGCATTCCTGGGTGTAAAGCTTCTATGTAATTCATTAAACTCATAGCAGGTTTTAGTACTCAGTGCTGTTTATGACAGATAAAGCTTAATCTTACCTCAAATAATTTTACTTTCTATGATTCAGATAAATACTTTGTAGAAACCCCCTAATGAAAACACTGAGGCATCAAACAGAAAAATGAGTCAACTTTTTGTTTCTAAAGTGATACAACAGGAAAATTTTTAGGTGCTTATGATCACATACTACCATTATCACAAAGTATAAAGAAACTCATTTTCTCTTTTACTAAGATGTCCTCGTGACCACTTATGTATGCCCAGAGCCAGAAAGACATTTTTATCTCAGGGAAATTCCAGAAATGGAAACATCATTGTGTCATATTGATTCGTTTCCGTCTAGCCAAAGATGTGTTTTCCACCCAGCAATGAACATCAGCCCCAAGTTATAGTGGGCAAAACACTCCACAAACGCAGTGTCTGCTGAGCACTGAAAGAGGATATGCACAAGTCTGCTGGCATTCACAGTTAAGAGAAAAACATCTGTGCTTTGCAAAATGTTCTTTGATTATAAAGAATTGTGCTCTGTGTCCACCAAATCTCCATGAGATCTTTATAAGATTAGCCAACCAATGGGTAAGGCCACTTTATCCTCTTTCATGGGTGGCTGAGGAAGTTTTCTGTCATCCTCACTAACAGCTACATACCTATATTTCTGCTTCATGGAAATAAAATGACTGATCAGACACCTGAGGTTTGTTCTGACACAGGAAAGAATATTTGATTTTAAAAAGTATGTATTTTGATTTGTAGAATGAGACGATATGTTTCTCTGTACTTTGGTTTTTCCATTTAAAAGCTTGCAGATGGATTAAGTCATTTAAAACTG